CATCATCATCATCATCATCATCATCATCATCATCATCATCATCATCATATCATCATCATCATCATCATCATCATCATCATCATCATCATCATCATCATCATCATCATCATCATCCTCATCCTCATCCTCATCATCATCATCATCATCATCATCATCATCATCATCATCATCATCATCATCATCATCATCATCATTATCATTAGCAGCAGTCGCAGCGTCATCGTAATCAGCATCATAATCACCATCATCAGCAACAATAGCATCATAACGTTGGTCATCGCCACCATCATGCTAGCAATGGTCGTCGTCTTCGTTGTATAACTGCTTTTCACATCACCACCATCATAATCATCATCGTCGTCGTCGTAATCCTCATCATCACCATCTTCGTCGCCAACAGCATCACCAGCATGGTCATCGTCATCATCATCGCCATCGTCATCATCACCAACAGTACCAACATCATCCTCGTCGTCATCATCCTCATCCTCGTCCTCCTCCTCCACGTCGTCGTCGTCTGCTTATCCACCACCTCCTCCTCCTCCTCCTCCATCCCTTTTCCTGATAATATCCTCCCTGCTGCAACCCAGAAACTGACAATAGGGAGGGCCGGGCGCTTCGCCTGAGACATGATTACCGCTGATTGTCCTGAAGCCAAAACTATAACCGAGCTTTACGAGTGGAGGGCAGGTGGTTTTCAAAATGTGGCTCTCGCCTTAGCACCGCGCACGCTCGTCTTGAAAGTTGGAAAGAGCTTCGCGGATGGGGGGTGGGTGGTTTTGAGAATGTGGCTCTGGCCTGAAAGCCGCACACATTCTTCTTCAAAGTTTCAAGACATTCACGGATGCAGGGCGGGTGGTTCAAAACATTGGCTCTCGCCTCAGCGCCGCGCACATTCGTCCCAAAACTTCGCAAGAGCTTCACGGAGGGATGGCGGTTCCTTTTCAAAGCGTGGCTATCGCCTTAGCGCCGCACATTTGTCTTCAAAGTTGGCAGGGGCTTGACGGATAGAGGGCGGGTCGTTTTCAAAGTGCGGCTCTCGCCTCAGCACCGAGCAGGTTCGCCTTAAAAATGAGCAAAAGCAAAATGGATGAAAGGCGGGTCGTTCTTTAAATGCGGCTCTCGCCTCCGCACCGAGCACGTTCGTTTTAAAAGTTTGCAAGAGCTTTACTGGTGAAAAGCGGGTCGTGTTCAACATACGGCTCTCGCCTTCGCGCCGAGCACACTCGTCTCCAAAGTTTGCAAGGGTTTCACGGGTGGAAGATGTTTTTTGTCAACATATAGCTCTCGCCCACGCGCCGCAGAACTGTTTAACGGATTGTTACGTTTGACGTCCCAGGAACGGTGCTCTGGCACGATTTAGGACTGTCAGGGCGCAAAAGTCAGGTTGATTCGCGGTGTTAAACGGGTCAGGATGGACCTGGGGGGGGATCCGGAGACTGATCTTGGCGGGATTGCGGCCGGGAGGGCGCCTACTACACCTCTACCCCGATTCTGGCCAGACCCATCCTGCTCCCTGGGATCGGGGATGTGGTTCCTCCCGGCGTCGCCAGGGAGGCACATGCGCCGATCCTGGGCCGATCCTGGGCCCAACGTTGGCATGGCCACGATCGGTGTGGCTCTGTAGTTGGTGCCCCCCGCCGATATCCCGAGTCTCGACACGCCCGGTCTCCTTCAGTGCGCGCTTCGCACTGGACAATGCGCGAGTCGCGGCCACCTTCGCGCCCTCGCGCCACTGCTCGGGGACGGGCAGCTCTCTACTTGGTGCGCGCTGGAGACGCCCTGCCCTTCACGCTTCTGGAAAAGCCGCGCGCTGCAACCGATGTGCGGTCAACGCACGGTCCTGGCTGACTAACTGAATCTGGAGAGGACCCGTCACGAGGAGAGCGCGGGGCCAAAATTATCCTGGCGAAAGACCCAACCATATGCAGTTGTGGGTACCGCGATTGCGAATATCTTCTTAGGTGACGCTCCCTATGGGGCCACGAAGCGCTGCGCTGGGTGGGGGGGGAACACATGCGGGCGGTAGCCCTGGGGCCGTCGGTGGAGCTCCCCATGGGGCCACGAAACGCTGTACCGTGCGGGTGAAAATGCTAAATTAGGCATGTGGGGCGCATGCGGACGGTCTCCCAGGGGGCTTCGGTGGAGCTCCCTATGGGGCCACGAAACGCTGTACTGGGCGTGTGAAACTGCCAAATTGGTTGTGCGGGACGCATGTGGGCGGTCCCACCGGGGGCTTCGGTGGAGCTCCCTATGGGGCCACGAAACGCGGTAGTGGGTGTGGCGGACGCATGTGGCCACCCCCACTGGGGCCTTACGTGGAGCTCCCTATGGGGCCACGAAACTCTGTACTGGGTGCGGCGGACGCATGTGGACACCCCCACTGGGCCCTTGGGTGGAGCTCCTACTGGGGCCACAGAACTCTGTACTGGGTGTGGCGCACGCATGTGGTACCCCCCACTGGGGCCTTCGGTGGAGCTCCCTATGGGGCCACGAAAAGCTGTACTGGGTCGGGGGGAACGCATGCGGGCAGTAGCACTGGGGCCGTCGGTGGAGCTCCCTATGGGGCCACGAAACGCTGTACTGGGCGAGAAAAAAATGCCAAATTGGGCGTGTGGGACGCATGCGGACGGTCCCACTGGGGGCTTCGGTGGAGCTCCTGATGGGGTCACGAAACGCTGCACTGGGTGGGTGAAAATGCCAATTTGGGCTTCCGGGGCGCATGCGGACGGTCCCACTGGGGGCTTCGGTGGAGCTTCCTATTGCGCCACGCAACGCTGTACTGGGTGTGGCGGACGCATGTGGCCACCGCCACTGGGGCCTTATGTGGAGCTCCTTACGGGGCTACGAAACGCTGTACTGGGTGTGGCGGACGCATGTGGACACGCCAACTGGGCCCTTAGGTTGAGCTCCTACTGGGCCACGAAGCGCTGTACTGGGTGTGGCGGACGCATGTGGTACCCCCAACTGGGGCCTTCGGTGGAGCTCCCCATGGGGCCACGAAACGCTGTACTGGGTGTGGCGGACGCATTTGGTACACCCCACTGGGGCCTTCGGTGGAGCTCCCATGGGGCCACGAAGCGCCGTACTGGGTGTGGCGGACGCATGTGGTACATCCCACTGGGGCCTTAGGTGGAGCTCCCTATGGGGCCACGAAGCGCCGTACTGGGTGTGGCGGACGCATTTGGTACACCCCACTGGGGCCTTCGGTGGAGCTCCCATGGGGCCACGAAACGCTGTACTGGGTGTGGCGGACGCATTTGGTACACCCCACTGGGGCCTTCGGTGGAGCTCCCATGGGGCCACGAAGCGCCGTACTGGGTGTGGCGGACGCATGTGGTACATCCCACTGGGGCCTTAGGTGGAGCTCCCTATGGGGCCACGAAGCGCCGTACTGGGTGTGGCGGACGCATTTGGTACACCCCACTGGGGCCTTCGGTGGAGCTCCCCATGGGGCCACGAAACGCTGTACTGGGTGTGGCGGACGCATTTGGTACACCCCACTGGGGCCTTCGGTGGAGCTCCCATGGGGCCACGAAGCGCCGTACTGGGTGTGGCGGACGCATGTGGTACATCCCACTGGGGCCTTAGGTGGAGCTCCCTATGGGGCCACGAAGCGCCGTACTGGGTGTGGCGGACGCATTTGGTACACCCCACTGGGGCCTTCGGTGGAGCTCCCCATGGGGCCACGAAACGCTGTACTGGGTGTGGCGGACGCATTTGGTACACCCCACTGGGGCCTTCGGTGGAGCTCCCATGGGGCCACGAAGCGCCGTACTGGGTGTGGCGGACGCATGTGGTACATCCCACTGGGGCCTTAGGTGGAGCTCCCTATGGGGCCACGAAGCGCCGTACTGGGTGTGGCGGACGCATTTGGTACACCCCACTGGGGCCTTCGGTGGAGCTCCCCATGGGGCCACGAAACGCTGTACTGGGTGTGGCGGACGCATTTGGTACACCCCACTGGGGCCTTCGGTGGAGCTCCCATGGGGCCACGAAGCGCCGTACTGGGTGTGGCGGACGCATGTGGTACATCCCACTGGGGCCTTAGGTGGAGCTCCCTATGGGGCCACGAAGCGCCGTACTGTGTGTGGCGCACGCATGTGGTACACCCACTTGGGAGGGGGCATGGGAGGAGGAGACGCGGGGACCGTTTCTTCAAAACGAGGACCCAACACCACAGGATGGTTGGGAAAAATGTGCGCAGATGCGTCTGCTCATCATCCTCCTCTGACTGATTGGCTGGCTGGCGCCACTCCTTTGCATTTTCTCGATTCCACTCATCTCTTTTGCCTTGGAACGTCCAGCTACGATCGTTGTCAAAATCGTGGGCACCTACCACCACGCGCAACGCACTCGACGCCTTGACCATACAGAGGGCAGGGGGAGGGTCAGGGCAGAGACAGGACGAGATGAGAGGGAAGAGGGGAGACCTGGAGGGAAGGGCTGAATAGGCAAAGCGAAGCTGAGCGGAGCGGGTGCCGCTCGCTTTGAGCCCCGTGGGGCCGCCGCCGGATTTGGACCCCCCCCCTCCACTGGCGCGCCAGGGGGGCCGCCAGAGGCGCCGCCAGTGGGGGGCGCCCCAGCACCGGCACGAGAACTCCGCGCGGACCTCCAGACGCTTGCGTCTGTGCAGTCCGTTCGCCCTTCGACATGGATCGACCACACGTAAGAAGTGGCCCTGGGCAAGAGTGCCCTCTGGTCCGCGGCGCTGGGGGGCCGCGGGCAGGCCAAATCCGAACGCACGGGCCACGTGCTGGAGGGACCCTCCAGCGAAAGGTCACCCTTCTCGGACAAGCGCGCTCCACTACTCGAAAACTGACTACTCGCGAATGGCCTGGATCCGTCGCGAGGGATCTACGATCCATCACATCGAGGCACGCATCTGTCTTTCTGACATCTGCGAGTGGGCACTTTGCGAGTAGCGGAACGCGCCCGTGACTTCTGTGCAGCCGATTGCACCCCCGTGGCGCCTCCGCCGACTTCGGCGCCGCGGCTGCCCCCCCGCGGCCGTCGAGCCACCTGCGCGGCGGCGGCGGCGCGCCCAGGTCCGTGGGCGGCTCCGCCGCAGAGGCGGGCGCGCCGCTGGGGAGAACGGCGCCCTGGCGTGGCGGCGAAGGCTCCCGGCCGCGCCCACCGGCGCCTCCGAGCCGCAGGGCGGGCAGAGGCACACTCGCGCTGGAGGGCGCCGCCGCCGGCTCGTCCAGGCTGTCGCCGGCAGCGCCCGCAGCGGCAAGCGGCGTGCCAGAGGCCACCCCGGCGGCCTCGGCCGGGGCGTGGTCCGAGGGCCGCTCGCCGCCCTCGGCGGCAGACAGCTCCGCCCAGAAGAGCTCGTGGTCGGCGTCCGAGGCGAGCCGCCACAGCCGCGCAAAGCCCTCCCCGGCGGAGGGGGGCCTCAGCCCGGCGGCGAAGCCGCGGATCACCCGGAGGGACGCCGCCTCTGGGAGCAGCGTGCGGTGCCCGAATCGCTGCAGCACTCGCTGGTCGCACTCCTCCTCGGGGACATCAAGCCAGGCGCAGCCCAGGTGCAGAGCTCCGAGGCCAAACTCCTGCAGAGCCAGCTGCACCCACACGGAGCGCTGCGCCGGGTCGACGTTGCAGCGGTCCACCACGAGCCGCCCCCCAGGCCGCCGCAGCACCTGCCTGGCGGCCTTCATGCACGCCTGCCGGGAGCCCAGCTCGTCCTGGTTCACCGCCCCCCAGCCGAACTCCGAGCTCAGCCTGGCGGCGAGCGTGCTCTTACCAGAACCAGGGAGGCCACAGAGCACCAGGACCCTCAGCCCAGCGACGCAGCAGGCGACGCCCTCGGGCACGAAGGGCGGCGCCGCGGCGCTCAAGGGCGTGCCTGTGCCAGCGGCCCCCTCGCCCCCGTTCTCGCCGTCGCTGTCTTCTTCCTGCTGGTGCTGCATTCGCTCGAACCAAGCGATGATGTCATCAACGGTGCCCTCCTGCCAGGCCGCCGGCCGCGCCCCCGCCGCCTCGGCTGCCGGCCGCGCCAGGGCGCCGCCGACTGCGGCGGAGCCCCGGCGGAAGTCGGGGAGGTAGAAGCGCACAATGCACTCGAGCTCCTCCACCGCCCTCGCCAGCCGCCCGTCCGCTGCCTCGCTGCGTGGGCAGTGCGCGCTGAGGCCCCACGGCAGCGCCCAGACCGTGCAGCCGTGGCGGTCGCCGCACTGCGCCGCATCGGCCACCAACCCGTCGGCGACCGCTGGACAGTGCTGCCCGTGCGCGAGTCCCACCAGCAGCATCGCCGACTGCCTCGCCTCGGGCTCCGCGGACTCCGCCATCGGCGCCTCGCATTCACCTTTGCTACGCTCGGTCTCCAGGTCCTTGGCGTCGATGGTGCACATGGCCATCCAGCGCCGCGCGCAGGTCGCAGTGTCCTCGTGCGATTCCCTCTCGGGAGCGTGCCTCGAGTCACGCAGGTGCTGCAGGCAGAGCAGCCAGCTGCCAAAGGTCTGCCCGCAGCGCGGGCAGCGGAACTTCGGAGCGGCGCTCCGCGGCGGCTCCTTCGCGGCGGCCTTGGCCCTGGCCGTGCCGCGGGCCGTCCACCTCACGGCCACCCCGGTGGCGTGCCGGGGCCTCGCGACCTCCAGGCGCGCCCCCAGCCGGAAGTGTCTGCCGAACAGCTCGTTCTGACGCTCGTCCTCGTCGTCGTCGTCCGCCTCGGCCTCAGCGGGCCCTGCTGCTGCTGCTGCTGCTGCTGCAGCTGGCCGCCTCTCATGGGCGACGAGCGCTATCCACATCCATGCTCGGAGACGCACAGCCCCGGGTCAATGTACACCTGGGCCGTTCGGGTTTTGTGAGATCCTGAAGGATCCTGCGCGCAAGACTGGGTCAATGCAGCCCTGGCTCTGCAGGATCCTGTGATCTGGCGCGCTGGCTGACCCCCGTGTACATTGACCCTGTCGCTTGAGCCCCGACATGGCCTCGTGGTCTGAAAGCCGGAGCGCAACCCCCTGAACCGGCGATCCAGTGGATGCGTGCCACGCAGGGCATCCGCGCAAGACCGCTCCTGATCTACGGGGTCGCGGCCGGAGCCCAGGCCGCGAGGGCATACTAACACCAATGCCAGTACAACGACGACGACGACGACGACGACGACGACGACGACGACGACGACGACGACGACGACGACTACTGCTACTACTACTACTACTACTACTACTACTACTTACTACTACTACTACTACTACTACTACTACTACTACTACTACTACTACTACTACTACTACTACTACTACTACTACTACTACTACTACTACTACTACTACTACTACTACTACTACTACTACTACTACTACTACTACTACGACTAATATCTTACTACGACTACGACT